CGAACTCCTGAAATAAATCAAATGTGTTTGTTAGACACACACACTCGTACATGGTGCAGTGTGTAGTAAAATGTGTATCTGGTCCACACAACAAGGTACAGGGCAACAAAACAAAGGCGTAGGTTTATAAGAATTTACATTTTTAAAATCTGAAGTAGCTGCAGAATAGTATTTGAAATATAAACTGACTCTTGTGGTGTTGTTTTGTCTGAATATGTGAGCGTATAACCCTCCACGTATCCCATATATAGTTCTAATATAAATAAACACAGTCACACATAGAAGTCTGTGAAGGAGCTCCAGATGAGTTCAACACATCGTTAACTCACGCCGCTACTCGCTGTTAATTGGATGCTGCTACAACTGTTCCCTAGCAACCAGCCTCCCGTCCAATTCAACTTTTTCCAGACCTTCCTTAAAGACGTGACTCACGGTACGCGATTCCAACCGGACGGGATTTCTGTCAAACTCAGTGAATATCTGCTCACAGTCTGCTGGCTGACGCTGGAAACAAGCTGGTGTTCGTGCAAATAGGAAGAAAAAAAAACATTTACACAACATCCAGCGTGGCCGGTGCACGTGCACGCCCAGGAGGGGTGATCAACCTGTTAGCCACCTGGACATGCTAACCAGCTAAAACACACACCTCTGGATAAGAACTCGTGTCTGAAGTGTTTTCTTTTCCCCAAAATCTATGACTATGCAAATGCTTTTTATTTGTTTCAGAACTTCTACTGCTCGCCACAAAGTCCATCTCAGAGCAAACACAACTTCCTGTTTCCTGTTTACACTGCAGTAAACCGGTTGGCTGCTGGCCTCCGAACAACTTGTGATGTCACAAATCTGTCTCGCAGGAACTCGCCTCGACAAAAGACGAGCTCAGAGAAAGTTTCCGCTTCATGTTCGCCTCCATCTTCCTGCACAGCGAAGGTCGAACATCCAACAGAAGCCAGAAGACAAACTTTCTTAGTAAACCGCAAGAGTTTATTTTTATTATTCGGCCAGTTGTATTCCTCAGGATCACATCTGTTTTTGAAGAACTCCGTCAGTCCAACATGTTCATGAACCTCAAACCTGAATACTTAACAAAGGAAAAGGGAGTTCTGGGTTTCTCAGGAGAACATCTACGTGTGCACAATCATCAGGCAACTACTGGTGCGCAGAATTATTATGCAACTAAACTAATCTCACGTTTAAGAAGGATCCAAAAGTTCTCAGTAGGGTTCAGGTCATTGCTCTGCCATCTTTAAGGCCTTTGCTGGACAGAAACCAGGTGGAGAACTTGGATGCATGTGGTGGAGAACGTTGTCCTGCATGAACATCTCGGTCTCCTCGAATCATGTCGAGGGTTTCCTGGACCGCTGCTTGAAGAAAATCTTCTAGAAACCGGCGGAAGGTTTAGGAGTCGATTTTAAGTCCATCTTCAACCAGAAAAGGTCCAACCAGCTCATCCTTAATCACCCACAGTGGAGCTCCGTCCCTGTTAGCGATCCAGCCACGGCCCGTCCATCTGGTCCGTCAGCAGTCGGCCCATAATCCCTTTGTTCAATCGGTCTTCGGATGTCTCCTGGCCCAGTCCAACTTGTTCAGAGGTGGTTCTGTTTCAGCCTTTCCTACCTGGGCCGTGTCTCTGGTACCTCTGGACGCTCCAGGTGGGCTGCAGTTCTGGAGGTCGACGGGTTCCTGGTAGCTTTTAATCCTTCTCGGGTCTGTTTCTTGTGATTATTGACTGTTGGGTGATCACGCCTCCACAGCTCAGCTACTCGTTTGACTCTTCAGAGAGTTCAATCTCTTCTGTCGGAGGTAAAGAAGCTGCCTAATAACTATGCACACCTTGATCCCTTTAGGCCACACCCCCTCCTCCTCATCACCTGCTTACACCCAACTAGGATTCAAGTCTACACGGCCTGGAGTTGGAAAACATGCATGAAAAGGACGATAAGGTCAAGTAGCTAGTAGCTACCTCACAAAGACTTTAGGGTCAAGATTAGAAAGAACGCAGACCGAATCCATCTCCAGCTACGACTGAAACAACTCATCCAGAGAACGGCGTCCACCTGGGATTAAAGCACCTCTCTGCTCTCTGATCAGCCTCCAGTACAGCCACAGATCAGACAGGTTTCCACAGCAGATGGTCAGAAGATGCCTCCAGTGTCAGTGAAGCTCCACCTGCTAGCTACGTGAACGCCGGCTCTGCTGCAGCCGAGCATCACGGTGAACCTGAAACCGAAGCTTTTCATGGTATAAACACAGCCAACGGAGCAGACCACGGAAACACGAGGCTTCACAACCAGTACCTGGGTTTCTAGATGGTTTCTATCAAGTGGGATAAATGGATCTGCAGACTCCAACACGCTAAAGATCCAAATCAGGAGATAAAAACTGGACGAAACAACCAGTTTTCAGCTCTTATTATAAACTGAAAACCTTTGGGACGGTCGGTTCAACAACACAAATCGTTTCTCGCAGTGTTCTGACATTTTACGGGTCAACAAAGGGAACAATCTGCAGGTGAGCTGAGCGGGACCAGGACAGCGTGCGTGCAGCATCAGGAGGAACACTTCAGAACACACCAGGACCTCTCCGGTGAGGCGGCTCCGGTCCGCCTGCTGCTCCAGCCCACAGAGATACCGTGTCATAAATGAGAGAGATGTCAGACTGGATTACAGTCCAGGTCCAGAGCTTCTGTGTAAACGCCTGGTTAGGTTAAGCTTCATGATGAAGACGCCCCCCTCCTCCTCCTCCTCCTCCTCCTTCCCCCAGTGTGAGCACACTGCTGCTGGACCATCAGATGCTCTACACACTGACATGCCTCCTTAAAGGAACCAGCAGACAGGAACCGAACCTCCTCCCAGCAAACGCAGCCTGATGTGGTTCAGAGGGGAGGCTGGCTGGAGCCCAGTATGGCGGGTGGAAGGATGCTGCTAGTCCCTGCAAATGTGCACGACAACAAAAGAGGGCAGAGCGGGGCAGCACATCCACACAGGAGCCCGAACAGAACCGCCGAGAGCTGCAGGGTGGCAGCAGCAGAACCGAGAGGGTGGAAACAAAGAGGAGCGGTGCTGAAGGAAACAATGCATCCCAGAGAGCTCCTACCTTGGTGTTGTCAGGCGGGTGCTCGTGTCGGAGCATCTCCTCCGCTGCTGGAGCACCGCTGGTCCACATCAGCCGAGGAGGAGGAGGAGGATTACCTCCGGCTGCTCGGTCAGCTGGAGCCGGAACAGAAACAAATAAAAATAAAAATAAAAAAAACCCAGGAGCTCGAGGCTGAGCCCAGCTCTGCTCAGGATAACTCTATTCTTTGCCCAGACAGCTATTATGTCTGCTCTCCATCAGGGAAGCAGCCTCATGTTGAGCAGCGGTCCGCTAGCCGAGCGGCTAACGCAGCCCCGAACCGGATCCTACCGCGAACCGGGCAGCAGGGACGCGCCGTGCTCGTGATTTCCCGTCATCGCGCCGTGTTTCGGTGAGAAAGATCCGAAAGCGGAGGGAGGAAAAAGATGCTCTGAGGCTGTGGCAGCGAGCAGGTCCCTTCGCTCTTGGTGCCTACGGAAGCCTGCGCGGCTCCGACGCGCTTTCGCTTTTTATGCTGCGCGTTTGAAACAAGGGGAGCTGGGAAATGTGATAACCCACTTTAGTCTGTCAGCATAAAACACAAGGAATACAAAAAAATATATATGAGAAAAAACAACAAGAAACAGTTCGCTTATGTCTTAAAAAGACATTAAAAAAACAAGATAATAGGAAAAAAATAAATGAAGAACCAAAATGTACAGACATGAAACATAAAGAGAAATACTGTATGAATCCCTGACGGTTCAATTTGACTGTTAGACCACAAAGAGCAAAGCTAGCACCACCATAAACAAGCAACAACACGCATTAAGTAAAAATAAACATTATGAAAAAATATAAAACACACAATAAGTGTCATAAACACTATAAGTAAAATTAAATGAAATGAAAATGAAATGAAAAATACTTTATTTATCCCAGAAGGGAAATTCAATTATTTGTATCAATAAAATGTATAATACTATAAAAAAAAAAATGTGCAAGACCAGAAGAAAAACATGCACACAGCATCTTAAATATCACCTCAAATGCCTTTTTTTTTTATTTTTTTTTTTCAAGATTAATCTCTAAAAATCCTTTTAAGGACATATTCTGAAAGTTTCCTGTAATATTTAGAGTCTCAATCAGTCAGTTTGATCATCACGGTTCACTTCTTTCCTCTGGCATCACTTTCAATGTGGTTTGATGTAGATTTAAAATCATCTAACAGATAATTACAAACACGTCTTAATATACAGATGCTGGCTGATCAGATGTGTTTAACCTCAATAAATAATAATAAAATAACCCTTAAACATCCACATGTCAAAGGTTTAGGTTCACATGTGGTACTGCTACTCAAACAGGAGGTTCACTACTTTGACTTTTAACATGTTTCTCGTAGGTGTTAGTTGATCCAGATTTGTATTTGTTAACTACAGTCATTAGATCATAGTCTGTATATTTTATATATTAAGCTGATTGTTTCTTTGCCGTTCAACAGCAGCCATCAAAATGCCACAAATCTGAGCTCATGTTTGTTAAAAAATAATGTTTAAATATAAAAAATGACACATTCAAACTCTCCTTTATGAGTTTTATTCACATGCAGCGGGATGTTTTTCATCATTTAGCCCTTTGATGACCATATTGTAAAAGCTCACAGACGTATTTTATTTTGCAGGACACACACGGTTTGGTTTTCATCAGATCTTCTGCACAAGACGACCGGTGGACAGAATAAACACACGATGCTGAACAGCCACAGGAGGCTGAACGGTTTCCTCAGCATCACTTCCCTCTGAGCAGATGTTGTGGTTTTGTGCGCCACCTAGTGCACAAAGTCAGCGCTGCAAGAAGCGTTTCAGGAAGCTTCCAGCAGCAGTGAAGAAAGTTAACGGATGCTTCGTTATGGTTGATTAAAAATAAAGACAAATGACAAGAAGTCTTGACTGAACCATTTTTATTTTCGAGGACATTTATGAAGCCGGAAGGAAAATCTGATTTTGTTATTATAATACACAACATGTCAAAAAACAATGAGTTAATCAGCTGATCACCATCACGTCAACATAACGCACACACAGCACCACCTACAGTCACTGACAGCCGCGGGTCCGGTCCAGAACCGGGTCCACCACGGCCTTTTGGATTTCATTACTTACAGGGACAAAGACGGTGTCGCTGCTCCGACACCGCCGTGAGTCCAGTTATACATGTTCTACAGACACGTATCCCCGTGTTTGGTTCAAAGGAGGAAAAATCACAAGATATGAGACGAGTCACAACGAGCCGTGGTCTGTCACCGAACTCAGCGAGTCGCTCTCTGCAGCGTCTACGTTCTACTGGCAGCTGGAAGCCAAACGATCAGGAGGAATAAACACGCATGTAAACACTGAAACCAGCAGCTGAAGAACATCTGTACGAGCTGTGATGACGGCTCTGCTGCAGGAGGCTAACGTCGCCTGCTTTTACCTTCTACCCACAAACAAAGGAATGTTAGAAAACAGATGTTCAGCAGTCAAACATCAACCTTTACATTCAAAACAAGAGTTTACTAAAACATGAAGTAACACGGCGACTCGTAGAACTACATGTTTGTGTAAAATAAGAGCGTTTAAAACCTGCGATGATGGAAGAGAGTCCATCGTTTTGGGAAACAGACCAGCTGGTAATACTTAATGGTGACTAAACAGATCCTCACTTCCTGTCTGGGTTCATGGGAGGTTAAAGAGGAGAGCGGCTTAGACACTTTAGATTTCCTAAAGTTCACTTTCACGCTGACGTTGGGCAAAGATTTATTTTGGCTTCCTCTGAACCGACACGCTACAATCCTACATCCTTCATGAGGATTCATCTACGCACAACTACAGGAAAGGATCACAGCTGGGACAGGACGGATCTCTAGCGGGGAGTTCTGACTACCGGTTATGATCGGGAGGATTCAAACGTCGACATCGTAGCATTTTCCAAAGCTAAGGAAACAAACTGCAGATCTATCGGGCCTCCCAAAAAGCAAACGACTGTGACTTCAGTCATGATTGTAGATAAAGACTCTGTGTGGATGAAGGACCACATGCTTATGAGCAAAGAAGACATAAAAACTGACCAAGCGACCGACAGACAGACCAGGCTACCAACACAATGATAAACAACCTCATGCTTCACAGGAAGAAGGAAAAAAAAAAAAGATCACACGTCCAGCATACACACACACACACACACACACGCACACGCATACACACACACACACACGCACACAGAAATATTTTCAAATACTCTGGTGTTATTTTTAAACCAGCATTCAACAAGAGTGGTGAGAAATAAAGGACGGCGTGGAAACGTGCCGGACCTCTCCAGGAGTTCAGAGAGCGAGCGTCTCTGCTGTGAGGAGACGAGCCTCCACCTAGAACCCGGCACAACGTTTACATTTCCACTGAATAAAAGCACTTTTTTTTGTTCCCCTTATCCAACATTGACGTCTCCCTCCAGACAGCAGAGCGAGCGTGAACCACTCCTGCATGAACGACGGTTTAAAAACAACACCAGGCCAATAGAGACATTTAAATAATTTACGATGTATTTACACAATAATCCATCTTAATATTCCAGCAGTGTTCTTCTCTTCTCAGCGCGTCTTCTAGTCGCCCATCTTTACTTTCGACGTCTGAGGAAGAAAAAGAAAAAGGAAGCCAGTTATGATTTGCACAGCCAGAACCTCGCGCTACACCCGACCTCACCTTTGTGGAAGTAACACCCATTCTTGTCCTGACATTTCTCAGAGCTTTGGAACAACGGTCACCAGAGGGGAAACCTTTTCTTCGTCTCTCGCTCACCTGCAGAATAGCCACGATGACGCCGAACAGGCCGATGGCGCTGCCGAAGATCTCCACGATGAGGATCTTGACGAAGAGGCTGGCGTTCTGGGCGTCCGCCAGAGCCGCTCCGCTGCCCACGATGCCGACACAGATTCCACAGAAAAGGTTGGAAAAGCCCACGGTCAGGCCGGCGCCGAACATGGAGTAGCCTGAGAGAGCAGGACGGGAATGAGTCGAGGACGGTACGAGTGATCCACAGCCAAACGGCAGCACACAGAGTCAGGTTAGAATCTCATTCAGTCGTTTCATTGGAAACATTATGAGTGAATTAAATTTGGCTTCTATGAGCGCTAACAAAATTAATTTTATTTTGGAACGCAGCACTTCTTACAGCATTTATTGAGACTGACAGCAAGAGGTAATGAAGGAAATCTAAACCAAACTTTCCAGTTAATACTAGAATAAAACACAACCGGTTTCCAGCTACAAGTCTTATTGTCTACATGGAATTAATGTGTGAATTCCTCCCCAGTCCTGTGATGTAGGGCTTCAGAAAGAAGCTAATGCTAGTTCCAGTTAGTCTAATCCACACCAGTATTTATGAGGAACATTCACAGGAACAGAACACATGTGGTGCTGTTTGACATTAAAATGAGCAGATCGCTGCCTTCATGTTCAAATGTTTTCATTAAAGTAGGACTTAAAATAAGGTTCACCTTCAATTGTGTGCATCTCATAGAAGCAAATATAAATATAAAAATTAAAAAATAAATCCTGTAAAGGGTTAATTATGATTAAAAAATTAACGCACTTAATCTCAGTTTGCATCCAGACAACACGAGCGTCTGTCAGCGCCTGGTTTCATGGTCCACCGATCACATGATGCACGAGACACGTCAGCGCTACGCTAACAACAACAAACATGGAGGAAGCCAATGAGAGCGCATCGCTTGGACTGATGGAGGCCAAGTTTCATTTGAACAAACCGCCTGATGGAAGCCTGGACCAGAGCCTGGTTTGGTGCTAAACAGACTAGATCCCAGCGAAGCCCATCGAGCTGACGGTACCGCCTGAACGCAAAGCAGCGAGCACAGAAACCGCCGCAGCTGTTAGCGCGAGCAGTCCTGGATAGCCACGAAGTGTTTTAAACGTGTTATTTTTGTTGTAATTAATTAATCGCAATTACAGTCCCACCCCTAATAGAAACACATCATTTAAAAATATATATAACAAACTGTACCCTGTGCTAATGCTGTATATGAGTGTCCTGTTAGTGAAGAACGTACTTTAAACGTCACTGTTGCATCGATTATGTTCGTTTAATCGTCAGAATCATCACTAATAGTTAATTAATGGTGCAGCTTCACTTTAAGTGATGTTCAGGTGCAGTTTTAAGTTAAACACGTTGGATTTATTCAGTCTGTTCTCTTACCAGCCTGGTAGTTTCTGGACCCGATGGTCTCGGGGGTGTTTCCGCTGAAGCTCTACGGGATGAAAAACATTCTGTTTAGCAAACAACCGTCCGTCCTCGTTCTGCTGTCTCAGTCATATTTCTTCCTCAAGCTTAATATCATCGATGCTGTGCCGTCTCCAGTGAAGCCCCTGCTTGCATCATTCATGAGCAAACGCAGACAAAATGTAAAAAACGTTGTTAACAAAACAGAAAGAGATGGCTCACCTCGGCCATGTTGCTGATGACAATAGCCATGATGATCCCGTAGATTGCAACAGCTTCACAGAAGATGATGCTGCAGAGAGACGGAAATAAAAAAGAAAAACAGAGAAACAATAAGACGACCCGCTACCAGGACTGTGGGTAGAGAGAATCACAAGTTATCCAACGCTCTGACAGATTACAAAACAAGTGACTGTCACACAGAATTTGTCCAGTTCTGCTCCTGAATGATCCTACCTGACCAAGTTCTTAGTCTTGATCCGTGGAGCCTTCACACCACCGCCGATGATGCTCGAGCCAGTGATGTAGATCCCCCTGGAGAACAAATACATGCACAGAGATGGAGTGAATAATCAGTTGCTGCTCCGGAAAGCACAGGCAACAAACACTGGAACGCTATTTACACACAACATCAGGACATCAAACAGGTGAAAATGCACCCGAGACGCAGCAACAACGCCGAACCGCACCATATAAACAGATCCTTCACCACCCAGGAGGTTCTAAAGGATCCATGTGAACACACTGTGGCAGCACATTTTAATCTAACACACATAACAGCACAGACAAACACAATAAACACAACATCTGAATGCATGAATGAATAAAACAGGATGAGAAACAAGCAGCAGCTCAGACAGCATCATAAAACCAAGAGGACAGACAGACAGGTTGGTTATTCAGTGTTTAAGTCACATGAGCAGCTCTGTGATCCAGCTGCCTGCAGATCAGACGACGTCCACGAAGCCCTCGACAGTAAAACTACAGCACTATGTTCAGAAGACCTGGCATCTACATAAGTCAGTGAGGAGCCTCTCTGGGTGGTAGCTCTGGTGAATCTGGTGATATTTCCACCTCTGCTTTTTGTTCTTCCAAAAACAAATAAATGAATAAAAGCCTTTGATATGAGATGCACTTCTCAGAAATTAGAAATATGAGCAAATTCAAATTGTGGGCATAAAATCAGTTGATAGTTTCTAGACTGTGGTGTCTCTCTCTGTAGAGGTGTGTGGTGTGGATGAACCTGAAGGCCTTCAGCTGTGCTCTCTGTTCAAGTTCAGCTTTGTTTTTGTTGTTGTTTTTTTACTTTTTTGCCTTTATTTTATAAGAAAGCTAAGAGAGAGACAGGAAAGTGGGGGAGAAGAATGGGGGACGGACTTGCAGGAACAGGAAATGAGCGGGACTCGAACCCATGACCTCTGCCTCTGAAGCTACAGCCCCTGAATATGGGACGACAGCTCAACCAGGTGAGCTCCAGCAGCCGCCCAAGCTCAGCTTTGAACACATGAAGTGAGGCCCTGAAGCTTTGTTAGTGGAAGCAGTTTGAAGTCAGCTTAGTTTGCTTGAGTCTCTCTGTCGCTAGTTGTAAAAAAAATAAAATAAAGCTCTTCAAAATGTCTGTTTCTGCTTAAACGAGTAAGCTGGCACTACAGCGGATGATTCACCGGTTCATTAGGGAACCTGAAAGGGAACACATCTCCACTCAGAACATACTCACAAGGTTTTGTGTGTTTCAGAGATTTTCCAGTTCCACTTTTACACATCGTGTTCTTTTTTTAAATAAACATTCAAGAGGAACTTCAAAAGGAAATTCTTAGATGAAAGAAGCTCGTCACCGGTGCCTGGCAGGGTTCAGCCCACTGATAATGTTAGAAAGCAATTCATTTAGGTGCCACCAATTAATCCGAGCGGACGCAAAATGATCCTATCATGTGCCATTAAAGACACCTGACAGGAGGACAGACGCTGTGAGTGACTCACCAGGCAGCTCCGACCACAGACAGAGAGATGGCCAGACCGATGCCCAGGTTGGCCCACATGAAGGGAGAGGTCTCCGTCAGGAACCTGCAAGTAAACAAGTACAGTAAACAACAATAACATGTGCAAGGACCAAAATATCACAGAATCATCTGTTTTAAATTCTAGCTTTTTAGCAATATTCAGTGTTGAATTGAACAGTGCACGACTCAATGAAACACCTGAAGCTCAGGTGATAGAAGATTACACTCCAGGTGACCTAAACGCCAAGTTTTGTTTTCCTCTGTGGTTGTGCAACATGTTTCATTTCAACCCTTTGAGGTTCGACCCCTGACAACCTCGCTGTAGTGAAAACCACGGCCAGCGTTAGGAATATATCAGCAGGATGCAGATATCTAGGAAACCTGAAACTGTTCAGTCCAGCACAATATTTAACCCACCGTAAGACGACACATTTACAGCATAACGAGTGTATTAAACACACTATTGGTCTGTAAATTTAGTCTCAGCATAACTGTAGAAAAAACTCTCAGAATCAGTTCATTAGTTTTGGTGTAATAACCAAAAAAATGTACTTTGGATGTGCTTTTGCGTCTGGCAGGACTGACGCGTGGTCAGCCTGAAACCAGCAGCTGTTGTAAGGCGTTGCATCCGTATTCTTACAGTTGTGCAACCTGGGAAAAGTTGCTGCAGCGTCGTTACGACAATAAAGTGTGTTTAGTGCTTTACAGGAAACTGGAACTGAAGGCTTCAAGCGCTCAACTAAAATGGAGCTCTGACCCTCAAATCTGGCACAAATCAGCCGTCACCATCATTCACCTGCAGCTCTGTGCCAACACTACTTACCATGCCACATCAAAGCGGAATCCAAGGTCAAATATGGTGTAGCAGATACCTGAGGAAACAGACAGGTGAGATGTGAATGAGGCTTGTTCACACTGATGCTTAATGAGTGACCTGAACAGAACCATTTATTCCAGACATGCACGTTTCCACTTTCATGAACCTGTTCTCTGCACCACACGTGAAACACAGTCACGCTAAAGTCCTGGAAAAACGCCGTAGCTTCAGTGTGATCGCTCAGCCTCACGTGAAAACTGCTGCAGTTCCTGTTTGGAGTCGTTTAAAGTCAGTCAGCTAACCAGCTAACGTTAGCTTAGCGGACGGCTAACACTAGCTAAGCGTCACCAAATGGCTCAAACTACTGGAAGAAAGGCAGATAAACATCCCATAATATGTCTACTAAAAAGCCTGACGCTAGTCAACAATAAATGCCAACACTGCTGTCCAACGTTTGAGTCTCTTCTGCTGTAATAGTTAGCAACGAGCTAAATGAGATTAGCTTGACATTAAGCAAATGCTAGCAAAGCGCTAGCTTAAACGCAAGAAGAGGCCCTTTGTCGTAAATGTTAACGCATACAGTTTAGAAAATATGCAGCAGTAATTCATGCCTCGGTGTCCAATTAGTGCTTAAGCTAATTTTCAGTTTGCAAATGAACCAGCAAGCTAGCAAAGCGACCAGCCGCAGCCGCTGCAGTCCCAGGATGTAGCCGGGTCCCCAGCAATAGCTGTCAAACGCAACGACCCGCGCTGACAAACGAAGCCGCGACGTCTAACAACACGCTCACCGCGGAATACATCTACGAGATAGATTATTTCAATACCTAATTATAATATCTGGATTATTTCTCACGGGAAATATAACCTTACCGACGACTAGTATGGTGGTCCAGAAGGCCAAAGTGACCCCCGTGTAAAGAATGGCGTGTCCGTTCATCATCCACTCTAGCAGCATCGATCCGGCCGTAACCTGCTGGACCAGCGAGGCTCACTGGGCTCAGACCTCAAACCAGATGCCAGCGACGCGAAGATAGCGACAAAATACTGATCCGAGAAGCGCTGACGGTCGATGGAGGAGGAAGAGCATCAAAAGGAGAAGCAGGCTGGTGTCAGCTGATCCAGCTCGTCTGGCATGTGACCGGGACCGGGCGGCTGCGTTCGGTTACTGGTTTTCCTTCACCTCACTTATCTCCTTTTAACTGAAAAGTTCATTTATTGATAACTATCATCTACAGCAGCAAAACACAACAACGTAAGACAGATATTTACAGTATGCACAGACTATAAAAGTGTGAGCTGCTTATTGAGCGATTATACTGAAACCGAATGAGTCCCAGAAGGCCGCGTTCCACTCCGGAGACTCCTGCAGGTCGTGCAGTGGCCGCTAGATGTCACTGTTGCCCCATACAGTACATGAGAGAAGCTGGAAAGGTTTAATTTCTATAGACAAGCACTAATCTCACTTCTGCCACCTGCAAATACACCATATGGAAAATCCATAACAAAACGAGTCACTTTTTAAACACCACCTTATTTTGGACCTGTTGTTATACAACATTATTGAAAACTTCTCCAGATGGGCTGCACGGTGGCTCGGTGGTTAGCACCGTCGCCTCACAGCTAGAAGGTCGCCGGTTGGCGTCCCGGTGAGGACACCCGGGATCTTCCTGCGTGGAGTCTCCATGTTCTCCCCGTGCAGCGTGGGTTCTCTCCGGGTTCTCCGGCTTCCTCCCACAGTCCAGAAACATGCTGAGGTTAATTGGTGATTGTAAATTGTCCGTAGGTGTGAATGTGAGTGTGCTTGGTTGTCTGTCTCTAAGTGTAGCCCTGTGATAGACTGGTTACCTGTCCAGGTGAACCTGCCTTCACCCTGAGTCAGCTGGGATAGGCTCCGCCCCTCATAGTGAGGATTAAGGTGTAGAGATGATGGATGGATGGACTTCTCCAGATACATTTGTGGTGACATTGCTGTTAATAGGTTTGTGACTATATAAAGCCTTTTTTCAGTTTATAAACAGCTGCACACCTAAATGCACCACTTTGCTAATGGATCCATCCATCCACTGATCTAAACATCTTCCATCTATCCAGAGCCGGGTCGTGTTGGCACACAGGCACAACAAGGCATTTGGACACCCATTTTCCCAGCAATGCTTTGTGATACTTCCTGGGGATCCTGAGGCGTTCCCAGGCCAGATGAGATGTGTAACACCTCCAATAAGCTTTGAGTTTACTGGATCTCCCAGTTGATCGTGCCTCTAAAGAAAGGCGCCCATCTGAATCAGATGCTCAAACCACCTCAGGGGCACCAACTCTGCTCCAAAGTATTTGTGGATGTCCAAGCGCCGCACCTTACTTCTAAGACATTTCGGCCCCTCATATTCTCATTGTTCAGTCACTACCCACAGCTAATGCCCATTAATGAAGATTAAGAACAACTGGCAAATCTGGAGCTGAACCAGAAGGCCTTCTTCACCACCATGGTGTGGTAGCATCTGTTGATGCTGCACCTGTTTGTCTGTCTTTACTTGCTTTAGCAACCACAAGCCATTAAAAATGAGTCGGGGTTTGTATTATTATTTTCTGATTCATCTGGATGATGGGACTGAATACTAATAAATGTTCTAATGTTTTTTAATGAACTAAAAGTCAGGATCATAGCCTGTTTATTAAAGGTGGACATCTTGACACCTGAGATGTGGTAACACTGTGCATGTACAGTCACAAAGTCGCCCAGTCCTAATGCACAGCCTGCTTTAATGGGACCACAATGTACAAAACAAACCTCATGCTGTAATAAAGGAGACCATAAGCTCATCAGGAGAGTGTTTACGCAGATCAATTCAACACAATCCGATTCTTTTTGCAACCAGAGGTGGCGCCCCCTGCTGGCCTTTTTTTTTAAAATGGAGGTGTAAGTGACTTTTTAAACCTGTCCTACTTTTATAAAAGCTCTCCAGTCAGAATGTTTCCACCTCTGCTGTTGTGATTTAGGCCATTCTTTCTTTAATAGGCTCTCTGTCATTCGAGGCCCTAAACTTTTCATAGTGTGACATCTCTGGAACGGCTCTGTGGTGTTTTTTTTAGATGTGGTTGAACTGACTCTCTGCAGCGATCCACCAGAGGGAGTCGTTTCTATATCCGTTAATCTTCTGTGAGGTTTATCGTCGTTAATCTGCGACTGAACGGGTTCGCGATGTTGGAGTGTGGAGGGTGGATCGTGCATATTTCTGTGACGATTTGGGATCAAAGCGAGCCTGTGGTGAACATGTGGGATGTGTCCCTGCTCACAGCTGTTTTATGTCGTGTGTAATAAAGCAAGTCGAGTTAAACAGACTGACAGCAGCACAAAAAATAGACTTTGCTGTGAGACCGAAAGCACAGAAACAATCTCCCTCTTCGTTCATTCATTTCAGAGTTTCTGACACTTCCAGGGACTCTGTCCACATCCTGATTTTATTACTGGAGGCGGTCTGTCACAGATTTCACCTCCGAGACCAGAGGAGTAAGAAGCTACCGGCTCTGTCTCCTGACCCATCACATGTCTGAAGGGGTTTAATGAGGCTACAGACCCCAAAGTCAGTTTAATCACACCAGCGTGTCAAGCAGTGACTCAGTCAGCAGCTGTAGATATCAACGACTAATTCTGTCTTTTCCAGAATCTTCCTGGTGTTTTTATGTCCTCTTGTTTTGGTCTGTTTTCAGCAGAATTCCAGGAACCACCAATCAGAGGCAGAACATCAACACTGGTGGAATGAATCTTCCCTTTTATAACAACTAGACCAGTTGTGCTCTAACTTCATCTGTTTTGGCATTAAGCACACGTGTAGCGACTGTACGTTGGGTCGCTTTGTGCTGCGTTCGACTACCCGGGGACACGATCATGAAGGGGGAGAAGCTTTTGTAGAACTGATCTGAGTCACTTCCTACCTGTCAGTTAGTGCTGACACGAGTCCTCTGTTTCTTTACAGATAAAGTAAAGAGAATTCTGATTCCCTTCATGTCAAAGTGACACCGTGGAGCCTTGGTTATATAAAGATGACGTCTTGCAGGTGCTTTGATATCAAACATGCTAACTAGGCCTTTCTTGTCGACAGCGTCACAAAAGCAAAAACATCTATGAAGAATAAAGAATGTAAAGAATTAAAAGAAGAAGATTTTTTGCAGATTGTGGTTGGAAAAGAGGAGTCTTTGGTAACAGAGCTGCTTTTTGAGCCTCTGGACATTTATCTCAAAATCCTTCTTTTCTGGCAAGAAAAATAGATCCTCAACCTGCATCACTTTTCTGAAGCTATCTGAATGGTTCACTTTTGTGCTGCTTGAGAAATTGCATGAAAAATGACATGAAGATTACAGCGTTTTTTCCACGATGACTATCATTAAAGTTATCAAACCAGAAGCCCTCCCGCCGCCCTCAGCCACCTCACCAGCTCTCTGACAGTCTGAACAGATGCAGGAGAGCCTTTCTTCAGAGAATATTAATTAGCAGCTGTTGAAGTTGTGAATATAATCCATTCTTTGCTTATTTGCAACTGTTGAAAGTTTTCTTCTATCTGACCCGAGGCTGTTTTGTTCTCAACCAGCGGCCTCCCTGCTTGCTGTCAGTCTGCTTTGTGCAGTCAGGAATCCTAAGTGGTGGAAAAACAAATGACTAAAATGTCCGTGCTTTATATTTATCTACACTTTCTGACGGCTGTGACAACCTGCAGTCATGAACTCAGGGCTGAAGGCAGCGTGATGCTCCAGGCCCTTCAGCTCTGTGCTCTTTGGCACATCTAGACGACTGAACTGCTCCGATAGACTCCATGAAAAGAGCTGAGAGGCCGTTAAAACCAGCAGAGAAAGTCTTCCTTTACCACTTTTTTCGTGGCATACTACAGATAATTGCCGTATGACTCACCGTTGATTCATGGAGACAGTCCTCCCATAAAAAATGACCCTAAAGGTTGTTTGTCCATTGGGCCTGTTATGACTCACGACGGGAGCAAAGAAGGAAGCAGTTACAGAGCAACAGAGTGCACAGAGAGGAGGTCAGGGTGAAGGATGGGTGGACAAAACTCTGGACTTTCACATGCTTTAACCTCGTTTATTTCCTGTTAGTCATTACTGCTGCTTTAACTGCATGTTGCCTCCTTCAAACCGTGTTTATTACTGCAAAAATAAGAACTAACAAGATTATTCAAGTTATATATGAGAACAATACTCACGTTCTTGAACTTGGACAGAAAACTGGCTTTGCCTTCAAGCAAACTACAATGCGGCTGTTTATTTATCCATCCATCATCTCTTCACCTTAATCCTCACCAGGGTCATGGGGGGCTGGAGTCTATCCCAGCTGACTCAGGGTGAAGGCAGGTTCACCTGGACAGGTAACCAGTCTATCACAGGGCTACACTTAGAGACAGACAACCAAGCACACTCACATTCACACCTACGGACAATTTACAATCACCAATTAACCTCAGCATGTTTCTGGACTGTGGGAGGAAGCCGGAGAACCCGGAGAGAACCCACGCTGCACGGGGAGAACATGGAGACTGGGCGACCGTCGAGCTACGAGGCAACGATGTTCAATAAAATGAACCCTCCACACAGATGTCATTAATGAGGAAAATTAGCTTAAAAACCACTTTTGTATGAGACTGTAAATATGTTTACTTCTGCTGTAAAGTTGGACATTTCAGGACAAGCGTTTACGGAGATCGACTCGGTTTTAGAGGCGGCCTCAAGTGTCCGTTCCAGGAACTGCAGATGGGCACTTCCACGTTGGCAGCTTGTTGTGCACCAAGGATAAAACCCAGAAAGCTTGGATCACCAAGAAGGCACACATAGGAACACACTGTTTGAGGCCCGTCTGATGTGTCCTTCCTCACTGAGGTCCAGGGAGTCTCGTCCTTCATGTTCATTCTGTCGTCGCTGAGCTCCGGTTAGATTTATCCTGTTTTCTCATTTTCTGTCTCGTCTCAGATCTGCTTGTGATGAAGACCTATTAAAATATTTAAACTATAACAAAATGGCACTAAAGGAAAGACAAAAGCGAATGAAATCAAACACTTAATGCAAAGCCTCGGTTTCAGACAGACTGTCAGCTGTCCCATCAACGCTTTTCATAGCAGTCATCTTGGTTC